TAGAGTACCAGGTCTGGAGTCAAGAAGACTCATTTTCCTCCATTTAAATCTGGCCTCAGATACTTACTAGCTATGTGACCCTGGGCAAGTCACTTCACCCTATTTGTCTCAGTTTCCTCATCTATAAAGTTACTTGGAGAAGTAAATGACAAACCACTCAAGCATCTTTGCCAAGAAAACCCCAAATCAGATCATGAAGAGTCAGACACAATTAAAACAACTGAATGACAACAGTGACCATTATTATTGTCATTATTTTCTTCTGTAACAGCATCTGATTGATATGCTGGAATATGTTTTCTAGATTTAACAAATATATATTTCTGATAGTACCCAAATATTAAATTACATTCTGCATAAAGGACTTATGTATCACTGAAGAGATGCTTAGGCCATTTTAATAATTCCTAAACACCCAAGGAGAGAAATGTTCTTTTTCATCATGTAAAGGGGATGTTGATTAGCAGTCACAATAGCTACATTAAAGAGTTAAACTGGGTACAATATGAATGGGAGTGGGATGAGGTGGAGTGAGGTCTGAAAAGAGGAAAAATCAAAATGTACTTTTTTAAGCTCTCATGATCTGAGTTTTCAACACATAGTTTTAAGCAAATTCCCCTTTCATCTTTTCTTTTGCACATGAAAAAGCCAGAGACTTTTACATAGTAGATTTAGGCTTTTTAGAAGAATATATATACATATATATATATACACTCACACACATATATACATATATATGTATATACATATTTATGATGTTTACTCTAAGTAGGACATAATGGCCCTCATCACAGCAGTTTAATGGGATTTTCCCTCCAGCTGTTTTTATTTATCTTAAACTTCTAATAAAACTTATGCTTTATTTCAAGAGGCAATCCATAATTAACTTTTCAACTGGTGGCAGTGGTTTCTAACCATGCCACCAACAGTGTGGAACTAGTCCTTTGGGTGGAGGTGGAGGAGTGGAAGACAAAAGGTAGTAGGGACACTTTGCCTGGACCCCAAAGAGGAAAATTCTGTACCAGGTGAGTTTCATAATGACAAAGGCATTTAAGAATCAAAACTGGGATTTTGTTGGTGGCAAAGAATGAAGAAATGACAGGAGAGGGTGTTGGAAGGTGGAAAATGGGCTTTCACCATACCCACTTTGTCCGGAAAGCAGAGGAATGGAGAACGTATTTGTCCTCTTCCCTCTCCCACTAACCTCAGACTGATGACACATGGTATGTTGAGGGGAAATGTTATAGGAGGAAAACAGTTATTTAGTTCTTGGAGCATTTTCAGGAAATATTTGAAAATGTGATTATGTCACCATAGAATCAGTGTGGAGTAGTGGAGAAGACACTGGACTTGGGATCAGGAAGAACAGAGTTCAAATCCTTCCTCTTATACTCACTAGCAGTGTGGCTCTGGGCAAGTTACGTGACCACCTTATGCCTCAATTTTCTCACCAATAAAATGAGAGGTTGCATTTAATAGTCTCTAAGACACTCCCCAGGTTCTAAATCTAGGATTATTTGATCCCATGGACCTCCTCACCTTATAATTTGCTTCATTACTTGATCTGTTTCTGAGGGCCCCTAAGTGGGTTTGCATACTTCTCCTTCTCCTCCTCCTTCCACATCAGGCCCATCAATAACAGGGGCAATAAAATAAGAGCATTTTGTTTGAAGAGGTAGAAAGGATGCTTATGACCTGGAAGGGACTATATTTGAGGCTAGATGTGAGGTGACACTGGACCTTAGAGATACTGAATCTTTAACTATTGTGCTGCTGCAATCAACAGGGTGATGGCTGAATTGCTAGAGATGCCACAGAGGGAATTTACAGGCCTGAGGGCTATACGTGGGTTTTCGCCACTTTCTTAAGTACCCCGAACCATAATTTTTAAATAAAATGGTATTGTTAAAATTCAATTCAATTTATACAACATTTATTTAGCACATACTCTATGTGAGATCTTGTGGTAGACACTGGATTTAAAAACATCCACCTATCTTTTAAGAAGCTTGGAATTTAATGAGGAGGGACAAGAGGGATATGGTATATAAACCAATATGTATTATTTGATGTAGGCAAAGGCTAGATCCCAGGTGCTCTGAGAAGATTTAATAATATTATAGGATGAGAGAGAGAAGGAACCATATACATAATATAAATACATTACATAAATGTGTGTATACACACACACACACACACACATATATATACATGCATATGTACATGTATACACACATAAACACATACATGTATACCCCAGTGTATGTATATGTGTATATGTGCATATACACGTATGTGTGTACATATATATTTTTTGCCCTAGTAAAATCATCTCAGCAGATGGGCTAAACTAGGTGGAGGGTAACCAACAGGCCTCAAACCCATCAGACATTTAGAGGATGTCTGCCCCAAGCATGTGAAGACTTCCCCTGGCAGAATGGACAAATGAGAACAATTTGTTCCAATGGCCATAAAAGTGTTTGAAGCAGGCACTGAGGAGCACTTAGAGCTTGATCAGACATGGAAAACACCAACGTCATCCACTGCACACTGGGCCATCTCTGGTCATCTTGACTTTATTATTGCCACTGGACTTCTATGACTCTGGAAGGGAGAGTGAGGCTGAGGACTTTGTGAAACTCTGACTCGCTTAAATCCAATTCACAAGCAAGTCATCACCCATCATTCACTATTTTACTCCAACATCATGATGACATTGATCCTCTTCAAAAATCCCATGCTTCTTGAAGGCATAGATGAAACAACAGATAAGGAAAATGAGGTCCAAAAGGTAGGAGGTGGCAGAAACAACATTTGAACATAAAGGTCTGGAGAGAAAGGACTCCAAATCAAATGTTCTTTTATGATATCGTGCTGCTTCTGAAAGGACTAGCTCCTCTGCTAAAGTTCTTGTAACCTTGACTTTTTAGAGACTACTCCAATGGAAAGCTGGAAAGACTTCAAATATGGGCCAGAAATTGGACTCGTCCATGAGAAACAGTTCATCCAAGTCTAGAGAGTGTTACTGCTACAACATGGATTTCAAGATCATGGTTTTTTACAACAACTTGTGAAGAACATCTAGTAGTAAGGTGTGGAGGGACTGTGGTCACACTGGCTCTCATTTGTATAAATTTATTTATATGCATTTTCATTGACATAGTCTACAAAATGAATTAATCCCATTTAAAATTCTTTATAACTTGGCCCCTTCCTACCTTTCAATCCTTTAAAATTTTTTTAATTGGGGTTAAGTGACTTCCCAGGGTCACACAGCTAGTAAGTATCAAGTGTTTGGTCTGAGGTCAGATTTGAACTCAGGTCCTCCTGACTTCAGGGCCAGGGCTTTCTCCACTGTGCCACCTAGCTGCCTCTTCCTTTTTTTTTTTTAAATAACTTATTTCCTTTACCTTACTCTATAATGCAGTCTACTAGCCTACTTTTACTTCTTTGAACATCACATTCTATCTCTAGTGTCTATCCATTTACATAGGCTGTCCCCCATGCTTGGAAAGCATTGTACCCTTATCTTCCTCTTATCTTCCCTGGCTTCTACCAAGACAGCTCAAATTCTTCAAGTTCAACAGTAACAGCTACAATGTGTGATGACCAACTCTGACAGACTTATCTCTTTTTTAGCAATTCAAGGATCCAAGACAATTTCAAAGGACTCACGATGGAAAATGCTATCCACATCCAGAAAAAAGAATTATGGAGTCTGAATGCAAATTGAAGAATATTATTTGTTCTATCTTTTTTTTTCTTTTTTTGGTTGTTTCTTCTTTCTCGTGGTTTCTCCCATTGGCTCTAATTCTTCTCTACAACATGACTAATGTGAATATAAGTTCAACATGAATGTATACATAGACTTATATCAAATTGCAAGCTGTCTTGGGGTGGGGGGAGGGAAGAGATGGGGAGAAAATGTGGAGCTCAAAATATTATGGAAGTGAATATTGAATGTTGAAAACTAAAAAACTAAAAATAAATAAATAATTTTTTAAAAATTCTTCAAGTTCAGGCCTTTTTTTTTTTCTGTGTTGCTAATGGCTTCCCCTTTCGGAGTACTCTGTATATTTCTTCTATCGATCTAGTTATTTTCATGTCTCCCCTACTAGAATGTAAGTTCCTTAAAGGCAGGGACTTTTGCTTTTTTTTTTTTTTTCAGTATTCCTCCCACTTAGAACAGTACCTGGTATAAAGTAAATGCTTAAATGTTTATGGACTAATTTTGCTCATATGTACTATCTTTCATCCAGAGAAACGCAGGGGGGTAAAAAAAAAACCTGCTTTGAAATAATCTCCATTTCTTCATATTCTGCCTACCCTCCAAGGCTCATCTTAAGCTGTACTTTCTCCTTGAACCTTTCCATTACTATTTTAGCTCTCATTAATCTCTATTCTCTTAACATAGCACTTTACACTTGGAAGTTGTACCACTGAACTCACAATTTTACAGTATATAATATATCTCATAAAAGGCAACCTGCTATAGCAGTAGGAGCACCAAATTAGGAATCAGGATGCCTGGGTTCTATATCCAGGCCTGCACTAATTTGCTGATTTGCTTTGGCTACACCATTTCTTGTGTCTAGGACTTAAAGAATATAGAATTCTACTAACTTATTCTACAGAGAAGAAAACTAAGACCTTTTCCAGCTCTGACAAGCACTACTTGTACTATTGATTCATGTGTTCTAGTCTTTTTTCCCCCTAATTTGACTATAAGATCTCTCAGGTAAGGGAACATTTCCTACACTTTTTTTTTTTTGTGAAGCTCTCATTCACTTAGCATACTGCTGGGCACATAGTGTATAGGTACCCTGAAAATGCTACACTTGATTGTCCCGGTATGCTTGACACCAACTGAAACATTCCTTTTCTTTTGGCTGTAGCTATCTACCTAAAGACTCATAAGAGGGCCCGAGACAGTCAACTGAGAGTCCATGTGGCATGGTCTATAGAGTGCTAGGCTTAAAGTCAGGATGAGTGATACTTACTGGCTGTTTGTCCTCACAGGAGCCACTTAAGGCAGAGCTCTGGGCAATGATCATTTGCAGGAAGGAGTCCACTTGTATCATCAGAGAGAGTTTGCTCATCTGGGAATTTCCTGTACTGTTGATGTCGCAAGTTCTGCCTGTTCCTATCTTATATACCTAAAGATTCATAAGAAGTTTTATAGAAGTGAATTCTATTTGATTCCTTGGGAATTATCCACACAGAAATAACACATTGTAGATGTTAGACAACAGTAGTCTTATCATTAAGTCAGCTCTAAGGGCATTAGACAGGGGGAGAGCTGAGTGGTAGAAATGATTAAGTTTCATCTCATGTGACCCAGTCCAATTTCCTGCCATCCTCAAGATCAGTTTTATTCCCAAAGACCATGCCCTCCAATTTCTGGGTATATCCTCCCCCTCCTCTCTACCTGTTCCCCAGTCTGTGTGACAGATACTTCTAGAAGGTACCTCCTCTCATGACAGGATGCTGCTGATGGAACTACAGCACTCTCTCAAAGCAGGTGGCTTCCAAATGCACCAAACGTCCCCAGACTAAATATATCATGTGATCCCTATCTCCTACTACAGGTACATATCTTTTCCTCCATAAGTACTCTTTGTCAGCCCACCCCACAATCTTACTGGGTGATAGGGTCCCACCAGGCCCTAGATTTAATCTCTCCTTTCGGACACCTCTCTCATTCTCACGTAGCTCCCATACTTGACAAAAGATTAGAGGAATCACCATCCCTTCCCTACATATGGACTTCACAGGGATGCATCATTCATTCCCTTCCGATCTCTACCTCTCCTCTTCACATTTATGTATTTTTCTACTTTTACTGATTTCGCCTATAGGCAAGTCATAGGATTTAATCTATAATCAGTATCTATTTTGCTCCTCCATCTTTACTTGCCCTGTTTCTTTAAAGTCTTATTATATCTTTACCCATGTGTGTCCTTTTTTTCTTGATGATCTTTTTCCCCCCCTAACCTCCTTACCTAGTTTATTTTTTCTCTTGTTTTGAAGCTTTATACATGGCATAATTTATTTACTTTTCTTGTGTTTCATTGAGATACTTTCAAGTTAAATATTGTACTCTCCCCTATCTTTACCCCTCTTCCTAGAATGCCTCAAATGCTTCAATCATTTTTTTTTATTGATAATTAGGCTCAAATTTGTAAGATGTCATTTAGCATTGCAGCAAGTGTTCCTGCGCTTTTTAGAAAAAAAAAAACTATTCCATTCCTTACTGTAATTTCTTGTGGCTGCAGAACAATCTTGCATTATTCTAATGTCCTTTCCTTTGTATTAGAAGGTCTTTCTCCTGGCTGCTTGCAAAATTTGAAAGTATTCAATTTAATTACTGTATACATTGGAGTTTTCTTTTTTTTTTATTTCTGGAGGCAATCTGTAGATTTGTTTGACTGATGTTTTGTAGCGAAGATTAAGAAGCTCTAAGAAGCTTTCAAAAATATTATTTCTTGCCCTATGGTATTCAGGGTTTTAAAAACTTGTCATGTTCTTCTGAGACACCTATAATCTTTCAATTATTTATTTCCATGCATCCTAGCTTCAAGAGCAGACATTTTAGACTGTGTTCTTTCAGCATTTTTAAACTTTTCTTTGTTTCTGCCAGATCTTGCTCCACTACAGAACTTTTAGATTTTATACCTTTTAATCTATCTCTACTTCTTTAGAGAGATCCCCTATTGTGGATTTATTTTATAGTCTAATCTGATAATTAGGCTTTTAAAAATCCATATTGAGAACTCCAAGTTCTAAATTCCAGCCATTATTAATTTCTTTTTTATGGATATCATTTTTCATTTGAACAATTTTGGAATTCCTTTTTGGTGTTGTTCCATAATCCACTGGGCACCCAGAAAATATATTTATTTCATCAGGCACTTGTTCATTGTCCTTTGTTTCATATTTGTTAAAAACACACACACACACACACACACACAACTTTCTCTTCGAGAACACACTACTCACCTTTCTTTATGGGTTTAGGTTCCTATCTGTTAATTTATTAATATGCTCTCTGAGCTTTGTATTGAGGCTTTTAAGCTTGAAATATTTGATATTTCAGTCTTGGTGGTTGTTATCCTCCCATCACTAACTTTCTGGCTATTTCTACTTTTTGGTGGGTACACCCCTAATGCTAGGCTCCAGGGCTGGCATATACAGATCCATGATTTATTCATTTCCTTGAGTTTCATCTCTGGGGACACAACTGGACTCAGCTGTTTTTTAGTCACCTTTTTTTAAGGTCCAGTGAAGCTGCCCATCCCGGTATTTTATCCTCATCTCTCCCTTTGCTTTCCTTTTCTTCTCACAGCTATCCTGAGTAAACATCTGCCATTCTTTGTGGGAACTGGAAGGGGCCATAAACATGTTCTGTCAGAGTCTTCAAAACTTCAGGAGTTTATAACTTAGGGTAAGCCCCAGTCAAAAGACAGCCCATTTTCATCACTTCCCTCTCTACCCTAACCTTGTACCTTCTCTTCAGCTACCTGTGCTTGGACAATCAGTGACTACCATTAATTCAAGAATAAATGTGGAGTTCTGATAGTTTCTGAAACAGGTGACTAGTGGGGATCCCAAGATGGTCCTCAAGCACAATTACTGTCTGTTCCTACTGGAGGTTAGGCTGGTGGGGTAGAGGTATTGAATGAGTGTTTCAAAGCTTAATTCATAAAGCTTTTACTTAATTCATAAAGATTTTACTTTTCCTTTGGGGAATAAAAAAATTTCCTGTAGAATTTTGCTTTAATTTCTTCACATTTGATAAATAATGCTTTTTGGGAGAGGGGGGTGAGGACTGAAGGAATTTGGAGACAATTATTAACATGCTATCTTTCTAATCATGTGTCTATCTTCTCAGAGTTTCATTTCTTAAGTGAAAATATGATTCTCCTTTATTGCCCTGAAAAGTATTCTTTAGTTCTTTCAAATGCATGATATACATACATACACACATATATATGTGTGTGTATACACACACACACACACACACACACACACACACACACATACACGTAACTGGTGAACGGATTTGAATTTTTCAATAAGACAACTTTTATCCTGAGAGGCTAAGAAGAGAAAAAAGGAAAGAGAAGTTCTTTTGGGGGGAGGGAGTTCAGAATTACTGTCATTCAAACCATTGTGATTAATGTCTATGATTTTTAGGAACAATGCAACCATTGATTGAACCAGGTGTGTGGGGGGGAGGGGAGAAAAGAAATGGGGGAGGAAAGTGAGAGAGACAGAGACAGAGGGAAAATTTTTGCTAAAGACCAGAAAGCTTGTGGTGACATTGGTCAAATCTCCACTTGACATCAGTACACTCTTGCGTAAAATGAGGAGACTGACATGATTATTCTTAAAGGCATTTTTAGCTCTAATATTCTATACTCTGTGATTCTTATTTTCTTTCTTGTTAGCAACATTAAAATCTTTTAAAATATCCTACCTCTGCACTCTTCTTCAATTGCTAATAAAGCACCAAGAAGGGATTTTGGGATATGATAAATTGCTTTTATTGTCCCCAAATTCTTAGACAAATGACTAATAGAGCACTTTGGTAGACTGGAATACATTTAATATACAGATTACATATGATCAATGCAGAGTTAAGTAAGAGAACCAAAAGAACATTATTCATTATGGTTTATTGCTGTTCAGTCCTTTTTCAATCACGTCTGACTCTTCGTGACCCCTTTTAGGGTTTTGTTGGTAAAGATATGGGAGTGGTTTGCCATTTCATTCTACAGCTCATTTTACACATGAGGAAACTGATTGCTTAGGGTCACAAAGCTAGTAAGTGTGTGAGGCCAGATTTGAATTCATGTCTTTCTGACTCCAGACTTAAAGCTCTCTATATTGTGTCACTTACCTGTCCCTCATCATACTACAATCATGTAAATAAAAAGAACACTAAAGTAAATCGGAATGCTGAGTAATTATCATAGCCAATCTTGCTTCTGGAGAAAAGTTATGGAAGCATCTTCCTCCTTTGAGAAGAGAGGTGAGATATTACAGGTAAAAAATGGTACCTGTCCTATTGGACGTAGTTATTTTGCTTATCAGTTTTATTTAATTGTTTTTCTTTGTTACATGGGATAACTCATTTGGAAATAATAGATTTAAAATTAAGTCAGTCCCTAGGTGAATTAGACCACCTGAATTGGACCTTAGCCTCAGGCTGGCATATTGGCAAATGTCTATTAACATAAAAACAAAAGACATCAATGTTTTGTTTGTTTGTTTGTTTGTTTTAAATTCACAGATAGCATCCCTCTTGAGTGAAGGAGAGAGTCATTCAGAGTATACCTATATGTGCCAAAACTTCCAGGAAATTTTTTTTAACACAATACAAATTTACAAATAGGTAAAAAAAAAGGTTTCTATAAACTGAGAATAGAATTCTTAACAGCATCTCTAGAGACAGACAGACACCAACACCCATACAAACATTCTTCCAAAGAGAATAGATTATTGGAAGCCTATTGACATGAGGTCTCCAGCTCCCAGGAAGTGGAGAGAGCCGCTACGTGCTAGTTTGGTTCATAGAGCTACTTCCTCTTTCACAGTCACCAGAAAAGAAGAGCATATTGGAAGAATGAAGTAAAGGATACTTCCACAAGCTTCTGCTTTGTCTGCAAGAAGAGAAATACAACTATTTCCTGTAATGAAGGTCCCAAGGCCTCAAGGCCCAAAGAAGAAGAGAGTATGGATTTTTTATATGGACCTTATTTTTAAAGGTACTTTAGTTTCATGCTAGCATAATGCATCCTGGTGTAATGAGAAGAGCATTAGATTTAGATTTCAGAGAACTTAGGTTTGCATTCTAGTTCAGTACTTACTGTTTGACCTTAAGACCTCTCTAGTCTTAAGTTTTTTCATTTTCAAAATGAAGAGTTTATACTAAGTTATCTCTGGAGTCAGTCAGTCAATAGTCAGTAAACATTTATTAAACACCTACTGGGGCAGCTAGGTGGCATAGTGGATAGAGTGCTGGACCTGGAGTCAGAAAGATTCATCTTCCTAGTTCAAATCTGACTTCGGACACTTGCTACCTGTGTGACCCTAGATAAGTCACTTAACCTTGTTTGTCTCATTTATTCATCTGCAAAATGAGCTGGAGAAG